GCTCACCCTTCCCTCCTAAAGGAGTTACAGAGGTCTGGAGACCGGGCCCTGGTGACTCCCCTGGACATTTTATCTGTACATTCCATTGCCTGCTACCACTTGGGTTAATTTCCCAAAAAATCCTTTAAGGAAGTACGGGTGATTTTTTTTTTCTTTTTTTGGTATCAGTTTTCTTGACTCAGGTGATATCTCTGGCCTCAGAATGCAGTGGTTCGCAGGACTCCCTCCAACCCCCTGGTCAGAGCCCCGTAGCAGAGCTTAGCTTCCTGGGGTGAGGGCTGGGGTGCTGGCCACCAGCACCTTCTCCTGGTGTCAGCTGTGGGACAAGCAGGAGAGGAAATCAGAAGCACTGGATGGGCCCCTGTCTGCCAGGAAAGAGGTCGGCCGGGGTGCCATCATGGCAGAGTGCTGGCTGCGGCCCCTTGGGGTGTGAGTGGGTCTCCCCAGGCTGTGCAGAGGTGGGCACCTACACCCCCACTCCCCAAGAAAGAGAGGGAGAAGCCCCCTTCTGCTTGGAGCCCTCTTGCTTTTGCCACTGAATCTACCCAGACAGACGGGTCGTGGAAGAAGATGAGTAGGGAGCAAGCATGGCTCTGTGGGACACCTACTTGCCGCTCCCCCACCCTGGCAGAGCTACGTCCTGGGTTGTATCCCTGAGGCTGTGGGAGCCGGCTGGGGCAGTGATAGCACCCCTCGGGGTCCTGGAAAAACACCACCCCGCAGACCCACCCATCCTCACAGAATGGGTCCAGGCCAGTGTGACTTGCTTTTTGCTACAGGAAGTGGAAGTGTTAGTTGCTCCGTTATGTCCAACTCTTTGAGACCCCGCGAACCATACCCGTCCCCCGCCCCACCCCGCCCAGGCTTCTCTGTCCATGGGATTTCCCAGGCAAGAATATGGAGTGCGTGGCCATTCCCTTCTCCAGGGGATCTTCCCAACCCAGGGATCGAACCCGCATCTCCTGCATTGCAGGCAGATTCTTTACCATCTGAGCCACCAGGGAAGCCTGACCTGATTAACGGTGGCCCCGAGGGGAGTGAAGGAACATACTGTGAATCCCAGATGGGCCCTCCCTCTGAGCCCCAGAGGCCCAGGGAACGGGGAAGCATAGTGACTTGCACAAGGTCACATGATGGTCTTGGCACCCTACTTTTTTCTCTTTTTTTTTTTGCTTCTTTCTATCATATTTGTCTCTCTTGTGTGTGTTTGCAAAACCGACACAGAAAGACAAAGTCCCATGGAGATGGACAGCCCCTTTGGAGAGCAGCAGAGCAGGTCCTGGGCCCAGAAACATCCTCGCAGGAGGAGAGAGGCTGCTCTGGCTTCAGAAGGGCTGGGGGGAGTAGCCAGGAGAAGGGGGAGGACTGTGTCTGCCATGCCCCTGGTCACCAGAGGTGGGGCTTAAGGTGCAGACTCCTCTTGGCCCAGACCTGGGGGACTGGGACAGGCCCTGAGGTCTGGCCAGAGTTTCCTGAGGGCCTGGGACTTGGGCCCGGGAGGTCGGCTGGATCACAGCTGTCCCTCAGCCCCCCTGGCATGCCCTGGTTTAGTGACCAGTGGAGAAAGTGGAAGCTGGGTTTAGGGGTGGGTCAGAAAAATCAGGGGTCCTCAGCCTGATCCAGTGGTGTCACTTCATTCTCTCTCAATCTCTCTGTCTCTCTCTCGCACACGCACACGCACACACAGTCTGTGGGGGTAATTTCATGGAGCTAAGGAGACCTTCATTGCTGGGGATACGGGGACGGGGGCGGCGGAACGCGGTCTCCCCCTCCAGCCTGGCTTCCTTTGTTCCTCCTTTGCCGTCCTCCCTTCCCGATCGGCTTCCCTCCTCTCCTAGCCTCCTTCTTTCCATTCTGCCCCTCCTCCCCGTCCTGCCCCCTCCGCCCCACCCCCAGCCGTGTGCCCGCCGCGGGGACCCCCCGCGGAAGGCGGGAGGGTGGGACCCTCCGGGCTCCCCAGCCCAGCCTCGGTGGCCATCCTCCCGCCGGGAAGGAGTTAAAAGTCTCTCGGCTGCATCCCCACCACCACCCCGCAACGCCGCCTTTGAGTCCTGCAGCTAGGCCCTGGGCTGACCTTCACCGCGAGGGAGGCGGCAGTGCGCATGCCCGAGCCGGCTCCCGCCGCTGCCCGGTTCCCCGGGCGGGCGAGGGCGAGGGAGGGCGGCCGCGGGCCGGGCCGTGCTCACAGAGGCCGCCGAGCCCGTCCCGGCGGCCGCGACGCATCTCTCCGCGCGCGCGGGGAGAGGCGCTTTGCCATTTGGTGCTGGTGGTGCTTCGGCGAGGGAAGGAGAGATGGGGGGACGGCAGGGGGGACTCCGGCTCCGGGCGGACACGCGCGCGGCCTGCCCGGAGCGCGGCCTGGGACGATCGGCTGCGTCGAGCCGGGAAGAAGGGCGCCCTGCCCGCTGAAATCGGGGCCCTCCTGCCCACCCCGGGCAGGAAGCAGGAGCCGGCGGGCGGCGTGGCTCTTGCTGAACGCCCTTCTGGGGCTGAGCCCTGACGATCCTGGTCTTTGTGAGATGGGAGTCCTGGCCCCGGGACACCCACACTGGCACCTCTGCTTTCTGGTCTGAAGGCAGCCCCCACCCCGGGGGTGGGGGCACACTTGGGATCGCCCCTGTAAAAGCAGTCTGCTGGTGAGGGCCTTGTGAGTGGGCAGAATTGTGATAGAGTTGTGCCTGTGGGTGCAAATTCATGTGACTCCTTGTTCCTCTGGCCTTTGCATTGGTGCTTGCGCCCCCGGGGACACGTATGCACTGTATATCTGCTGTCTCTGTGTGGGTAAGGATGTCTTTCAAAGAGGGGGCTGCAGGGCGAGGCCCTGGGCCTGCGGTGGCCCAGGAAGGTCTGTCGACTTGAGTGACCCTCCCCTCAGTACCACCAGATCCCTGCCTTGTCCTGACCAACTCCCTCAGTCTCGCCCACCACCAAGACCAGCCCCTCACAAATGGCCAAGTGTGCCCACTGTGCCCATCCACCTCCTGTGCCTTCTTCCCCGCAAAGGCCTCCCCAAGAGTTGAGAGCTCCGATCTTTACACAAAGCTAGAGGTGTCTGCCCTTGTCCCCATCCCCCAGAACCTCCAAAATGTCCCTGCTAGAAGCAGCCACCAGGAGGTGGGGTGCCCTAGGTGACTCACACCTTCAGGTAAGAGGCAGAGGATGAGCTCTGTCCAGAGGCCCGCTGAGCTCTGGGTGGTTGCGAGTGTCAGCAGACATGGGTTAGGTCTAGTCCCTGTATGCAGGCATGGGAGGGACAGTGAAGACCAGCCCCGGATTCCATGGGGCTGCAGCCTATTCGGAAAACCCTACATAACACACATGAAACTCAGGGCACATGAGACATTAGTCAGCAAAGTGCCATTTCATGGCCAGGGTAGATGATAATGGGCATTCACAGAACAGAAAGATCTGTGCACGGAAGTGGGACCAAGGAAAGCTTCCTGGAGGAGGTGGGGCTCCAGATGGGCTTTAAGGTATGAATGTGACTGGGACAAGTAGAGAAACATTTTCAGGGATTCCAGGCAAAAGAATAGCGGGAGCAGAGGCTTGGAGATGGGAGTGAGCGAGGGGTTTTGGAAGTTAGCAGACTGGAGAGATTACCTCCCCAGGTTACCAGCAGCCACCTTTGTGGCCAGTGGCAAACACCCTCCCGTCCCCACCCACCAGGACCCAGTATCTGTGAGTGTGTGTCTAGGGGAAGCCTGGGTAGAGGTGTGGTAGGAAGGGGCTCTCTAGGTCCCTGGTAAGGTAGAGGAGGAGCTGCCTGGACCACATGCCTTCTCTAGTCTTTAAGGGGATCGGCTGTGGCTACTGAAATGGACAATGACAGCCAGAAGCACAAGGGGGCCAAGGAAATCGGGCTGCAGGCAAAAGACTCCTTAGGCAGAGCCACTCCCTGGGTTTTGGGTCCCGACCTCTGACGAATTTTTGAAGGGTTGAGGGTCAGGACCCCTCTGAGTGTCACGCTGGGTCTTCAGGATCTAGCCTCGAATAAAAATTTACAGCAAATTCCCCAGGGCCCTGCCCCGCCCTCACCTGGGAACGGACAATACAGCCCCGGGAGGCGTAAACTTGACCCCTTCTGGTCCCAAAGCCCCTGGGGCGCTTCCTCCCGGAGGCGGGGAGAGGGGTGTGGCCTCTGGAGTGTGGGCGGGGCCAGGGCTCCCAGCCTGGGGACTCGAAGGGTTTGCCCCTCCTGTTTCCTGTCTCTCCTTCACCCCAGCTCTCTCCACACCACCCTTTCTGGGGCTCCCTCACGGACCCACCCCTACCCCTGCTTTCTTTGGGGTCCAGAGGCTGGCCCTACCATACCCAGCGCCCGGATCCTGCGGGTCCCCCACCCCCACCCCATTCCAAAGCTGTCAGGTCGCGCTGGCCTCCCCCTCCCCACCCATCCGTCCACCCCAGTTCCTTGCCTGCCCCCACGGCTTCCCTTCCCGTTCTCACGAGCCTGGCCCACCTCCCTCTCTCCGAAATTTCCCCTACTGCCCCGACTTTGTCACAGAGAGACAAAGACTCACATAGCCCGAAATAGACACCCGGAGCGGGGAGACACAGACCGTGTCCAGCCACACACACGAGCCCGCGCCCGCGCCCGCGCGCGCGCGCACCGGAGGCTCCGGTGGAGGGAGGCACACAGAAGAGGCATTTATCTGTGCACGCACGTAAACATCCACACCCACGGCCGCCGGCCGTGCCCACACCAGGGTGCAGACACACTCAGCGGTGAGACAAGGGCGCACACATCTGTGGACTGCAGGGCACACCGCCTCCGGGGCACACCCACCACGGCCGCCCGGNCCAGCGGCCCGGAGCCGCGCTGGCCGGCGAGCCTCGCCGCTTATCTGCGCTGTTTGGGCCCGGCGAGGCTTGGGAAAGGCAGGCTTCTCCGTCCCCGCCGAGTCAACAGGCGGACCCCGGGCCGCCGGACTATTTCTGTCTTATCAGTGCAGGAATGCGGCAGCCGCGGCGGCGGGCGGGCGGCGGCGGCGGCGGCGGCGTGGGCCGTGGGCCGTCAGGGCAGCCCTGAAGGGGCCCCCTCCCCACTCCGCTCGAGTAGAAGTGTGAGAGAGCCCAGCAGGACTCAGAGGGGAGAGTTGGAGGAAAAAAAAAAAAGGCAGAAAAGGGAAAGAAAGAGCAAGAGAGAGAGAGAGAGAGAGTGAGAGGCGCCGCTGAGCCCACCCCGATGGCCGCGGACGAAGTTGCCGGAGGGGCGCGCAAAGCCACGAAAAGCAAACTTTTTGAGTTTCTGGTCCATGGGGTGGTGAGTGGGGGAAAAGTTAGCGGGGGAGGGCGAGCGAGCTGGCTCGGGCTGAATGGAGGGAAGGTCGGGAGGGGCCGGGAGGGGGCTCCCGCTCCCCCCACACCCCACCCCACCCCTCTAGCGGGAGCGCCGCGGCCCAGTGGGCCCGGCCCCAGCCCCGTGCCGGCGCGCCCCGGGGGCGCCCGAACACGTCGTCAGGCGGCTTGGCCGGGGATGGGTGCCCCGGGGCGGGGAAGGCAGGCATTTGCATGGGTTCCTGTCCGGGGCTTGGGGGTGGAACTTGTGGACGGTCTCCCCCAAAGTGGGTGAGTGGGTGGGTCCCCTGAGGGGACAACCCGATGGGTTGTCCTCCCTTCTTTTCCTGGTGGGGCCCAGGTGCTACCCCTGCCCTGGGAGTGGGGGGTGGGGGGACTTGGCTTCGCTGCGCTAGGCTGCTTGTTCATCCGTTGGGACAGTGTCTCCGGAGCAAGGAGCAGGTGACCCTGGCGGCCCTGTGAGCGGGAAGCTCTGGGGCTGAATCACCTTTGCATCCCCAGCCGGAGGGCTCTGGGGCTCTGCCCCTGGCCTCTGCCAATCAGGGCCAGAGAGAGGCCCTCTCTAGGGGCAGACCCCAGGTTAAGGGGCCTGAGGATCCCTTGGCAGCCTCCACCACCAGAAGCTGATGTCCTTAACACCTCAAAGGTGTGAAGGAAGAGCTGGAGTCAGGGACGCGAGGCCTGGAGACCAAAGGGGCAGGTTTAGAAGGCCCATGGGGAGCCTGAGTGAGCCCAGCGGGGCTGAGGGGGTGGGGACGGGTTGGAAAGCCTGTGGCATAGGAGAGGCAGAGGCTCCAGGACTTGGGACGGCCACCGGTGCTGAAGCTGGGCATAAAGGAAGCAGTCAGGTTTACTATGGCCAAATTTGGTTGTGACCCCAAGGAAGGCACATTCTCAGGAAGAGAGGCCAAAGCCCCTAGAATGTTGGCCCTTCGGGCAGGTCATCCATCCCTGGTGGCCAGCACAGCCTTCTAGGGGCTCCGGAGGCCTCCTTAGCAGATGAGTGAGTACCACCAACCTCATTAAATGGGAGAGTAGCTGATGAGGAAAGGGGCTTTCCCAAAGCAGCCTGTCCTCCAGGCCCAGGGGTCTTGGGGCTAACTTCCAAGGGGTCCCCATGTTGGTCAGCCTCGTGACCAGTCCTGATCTTGCTGCGTGGGGTGTTCTTTTAAAAAGGCCCATTTAGGAGTGAGAGAGGCTATACACATGTTTTTTTTTTTTTTAAGTCAACTCAGTGCTTCAGTTCTTGGGTGGCCTGAGCCCCACTCCCAGTGCCCTGTCTGTGCTGGCTGAGGCCTGGGCTCCATCCTGGGCCACCACCCTGGAGGTGTGAGTGACAGGGTCAGGTGGGGTGGGGGAGGCAGACACATGGACAGGCAGGTCTCACTGCTGAGGCGGCGACAGGCAGAGACAGCTGGCTGGCTGGGGGTTAGGGTTAGACACAGCGCAGGGTAGGAGGGACCGAGGGAGTGGGGGGACAGTGAGAGGAGATTCACCAGGCTCAGGGGCAGGGCAACCCCCTGCTCTGGGGAGCAGCTGCACCCCTGGGGTGGAGTGGGTGGTGCTCAGACAGTATAACAGGGGCACTGGGTCTGCAACCATGGCTCCTGGTCTCCCTCCGGCTCTCCTGGTCCCAGTCCACATCCTGGCCACCCTCCGCTTGACGGCCCCTTGGGCCCTCCCTAGCCTCTTCTAGAATGGGGGACAAGTGAGGTTTTACAAGTCTGTGGAACACTTCACTCGATGCACTGGGTTGTCCTCTATATCCCGGCTGAGCATCCGGGTAGTGGCGAGGGAACACACCTGCCTCACCTCCCTCCCCGTGACCCCCTGGGAACCTAGACTTCTGACCTCACTGGGGTAGGGTGGGGAGTAGTTGTGGTCTGTAGGATGGGGCCATCTNTCCCCACCCTCCCCACCCCTCCCAGCCCCTTCGGCATCGCGCCGTCGGCAGCAGGGTCACGGGCCGGGGGGCTCGGGGTTGGCGGGGAGACGCAGCCCCGCGCGCCTGGAGCCCGGAGCCCTGGTTCTGACCGCCGGGCGCCTGTGTCTGCTTCACGCCCCCCGACCCCCCTCCCCAGCGCCCCGGGATGCCGTCTGGAGCCCGGATGCCCCACCAGGGGGCGCCCATGGGCCCCCCGGGCTCCCCGTACATGGGCAGCCCCGCCGTGCGACCCGGCCTGGCCCCCGCGGGCATGGAGCCCGCCCGCAAGCGAGCAGCGCCCCCGCCCGGCCAGAGCCAGGCCCAGAGCCAGGGCCAGCCGGTGCCCACCGCCCCCGCGCGGAGCCGCAGGTAAGCGGGGGTGGGGGTGGGGGGTGTCCAGCGCGGAGGGGGCGGACGCGGGACCCGCAGGGACGGGGTGGGAAGCCCGGGGGGAGAGGGGTCAGCATTGAGCAGGCGTCCCGGGTGGGATGTCTTCCCAGGAGGTGGGCTGAGGGGGCACTGGACCGGTTCCTTTGTGTGCCCACACCGTGGAGACAGGCGGTGACCGTCGCGCCCTTCTTGTCACCTACTCTGTCCCTCTCTGCACCCCAGTGCTCTGGTTCTCGGGGGATGGAGGCGGGGCTGTGGCACCAGGGCTCAGGGCCGAGCTTTAGACTGTTTCCTAGCGCGGTTGTCCAGTGCGCCTTCCTCAGAAGCCCCTCTGGCTTGACTCCTTGAAAGCCCCACTCGGGATCTTCTTAATCTAATCCCTAGCCAGTGGCGGGAGAGCCTAGGATTTGCCCCGTGGGTGGGCAGTCTCTGCTCCCTGGCGCTCTCTGGTGATTCTTAGGCTCTCAAATGTTGAGGAGTTGCCATGGTCTGTCTTCTGGACCCGGTCTGCCCCCAAGCCACCAAGGGCCAGCCTGTTTCCTTGTCTGAGCCAGCCGGTGGCACCCCCAAAAGCCCCTGCTGGTGCCTGGCAAGGGAGATACCCCTCTGGGTTTCACTGTTTAGCCAAACACACATGCTTCCTTTTGCACACCAGATGGAGTCCTATAAAAGGTGCAATATGGATTTTACCTCATTATTAAATATTTTTTTACATGTCAAGGAAAATTCACCATTTATAGGAAGCCCATGAGGAATTCTTTGCAAAGTGAGTCATTCTTTTGCAGAGTCCCTGATTTATCATGTACAACTGGAGAGTTTCACAGAGATAGTTTCTTCAAAACAAACCAGACCTTTAGTGAAACCTGCTTGTCTTGAATAGATTTTTGGCCAGGGACAGGGGCAGTGGTTGAGACCACCACACGGGGGCAGTATGCAGCCATCCCCTATGGTTGGGTTCTAATTTCTACTCGCCAAGGGTTTTCTGGGGTTGCTCCCGGGAGTCAGAAGCAGCTAGTGGATCCAGCAGAGTCCAAGTCCCAGCTGCTACCCCAGGTCAAGCCCACCAGCCACACCCCAGAGGGGAACATCCGTATCCACTCTCTCTGGATACCTGTGGGCGTGCCCCTGGGCCCTGCTGGCAGGTGGTCCAAGGGCATGAGCACCCCCTGCCCATCAGGGTCCCCTTCCTAGCTCAGGGTGGTTGGGGTGCTGGCCCTCCCCAGCTTCACACCATCACTTCCTGCTCCTGGGAGGGGGCATGGGGGTCAGCTCCCCTCCCCACCAGCTCAGCCACCTTGGACTGTGTGCCCCTTCTCAGCAGAGAAAAAAAAAAAGTCCCCACTCTGTGCATCCCCCCACTCTGTCCTCCCAGCTGCCCAGCTTTCCCCAAACATTTCTGCAGTCCCCTGCTCTGAGCCCCTTCTAAGTCTAATTTCTCTGGCCCTGGGGATGTGGCGGGGCAGAAAAGGGGCTCCCAGGCTAGAGAAAGGACGGAGTCACCTCTGCTCCCCGTGAGAGGACAGAGGCACACACGGCCAGTGTAGCCCCTCGGGCGGGCAGATGAGTGGGCTGTGGGAACCCCAGCCAGGCGGGCTGAGATGTCGGGATAATTTAGCAGGTGGCCTCGTTACTCCCAGATCTGTCGCCATGGTAACCTGGTTTTTTCTTTAAAAAATGTACAGTGCCAAGAGGAGGAAGATGGCTGACAAAATCCTCCCTCAAAGGGTGAGTGCCTTTCACAGCAGCCCCCAGCCCACCCCACCCCCCACCCTTTGACCACCCCGGGCCTCCTCCCCTCCCCCCCTCAGGAGCAGCGCTTCAACATCAAGTCACTTTCACTTTTTTGTTTAAAAAGCTAATTAAGAAATGAGGCTCCCCGGGGGCCAGAAGGAGAAGGGGTGGGGCAGAGGGGAGAAGCAGAGCCAGAGAGGGTAGGATCCTGGGCCTGGGGGGGGACGTAGATTGAATTCCAGCGGTCTGTAGAAACGTAAAGGCAGGGGACAAAGAGGGGCTGAGAGCTCGGGGACCGCAGGCTGGCAGAGGAGTGAAGGGAACAGCGCTGGCCTGAAGGCCCAGCAGCATAAGAGGACCCAGGCCCAGCTGGGTCCAGAGGATGGCTGAGACCCCAGCTGGAGCAGAGCGTATCTGGGTGAGGTGTCACCATAGGGCCAAGCCACGACATCTCCTGTCTCAGGGACCCTAGGGGCCCCTGACCACTTCACAGACGCCCCAGGGAACCCAGAGGCTGTGTGACGGGGGAAAGCACAGGATGAGCAGGTGAAGACCTAAGCACTTGCTGGCCTGCATGGTTGCTGTGGCCTCCCCTAGTGATGAAACGCATGGGTCTCCCTAGTGGGAGCAGCAGTTTTCATCCCTCATGGCTGGATTGAGGTCCATCCACACTGTCCAAGTTCCCTGCCCTGAATGTGGCCAGCTCCCCGCCCACCACACTCCCACCCTCCTGGGGCCATGTGACACCCGCACGTTCCAACCTGCAAGACTGGCTGAGCCCCTGGTTCCCTGCCTCACTTCCTCCCCGCTTCCAGATCCGGGAGCTGGTCCCGGAGTCCCAGGCTTACATGGACCTCCTGGCATTTGAGAGGAAACTGGATCAGACCATCATGAGGAAGCGGGTGGACATCCAGGAGGCTCTGAAGCGGCCCATGAAGGTGCCTTGGCTTGGGGGCCGGGCAAGGTGCCAAGTCCTAGTCCCTGAATGGGAGAAGCCTGGGCTGGCCCCCGGGGACTGGCCCTGTATGACACTCTCTATCTCTACAGCAAAAGCGCAAGCTGCGTCTTTATATCTCCAATACTTTTAACCCTGCGAAGCCCGATGCCGAGGATTCTGATGGCAGCATTGCCTCCTGGGAGCTGCGGGTGGAGGGGAAGCTCCTGGATGACGTACGTCCTGGCCCAGGTCTCTCCAGGTGTCCTGGGGTGGGTATGGGGCTGAGCTGAGGCCGGTACTGGATGTGTGCACCGAAGGCTGGGGAAGTCAGCCCTGGCTGTAGGAGGGTGGTCCAGAGAGACATGCCCAGGCCTGCTTCTGAATGTGTGGCCCTACCCGGCCAGCCCCCACCCGCTCCCAACTCACTCCGCCCCCGTGGGCCCAGTTCCACGCCCACGGTCCATACCTCTCCCACAGCCCAGCAAGCAGAAGCGGAAGTTCTCTTCCTTCTTCAAGAGCTTGGTCATTGAGCTGGACAAAGACCTTTATGGCCCTGACAACCACCTCGTGGAGGTAAGACCCCAACCCCTCCTGCCCTTGAACTGGCCACAGACCACGGTCCTGGAAGAACCTAGAATGCAGTCCTGTTAGCAGCGCAGACTTGGATCAGGGACCCCCTCCCCCAGCCTGAGCTTCAAGACCCCAACCAGCTCAGATGGGCCTGTGGGGTGACTCAGCTCTCACCCCTGGACAGTGGCACCGGACACCCACCACTCAGGAGACGGACGGGTTCCAGGTGAAGAGGCCGGGGGACCTGAGTGTACGCTGCACGCTGCTTCTCATGCTGGACTACCAGGTGCGTGCCCCCACACTCAGACACCGCACACACCCCCAGCATCCCACTTCCCATACCCTTCTAGCCGGGGTGGGCCTGGCCTGCAAGCTGTGCACCGGGAGGCCCCGTTCTCCCCTCCACCCTGCCTGCTCCAGAAGCTTGTTTCCAAGGAGCCCAGGCCCCGCAGCCCCCAAGTCCCGAGCCCTTCCTGCTCTCTTTTTGTCTCACTTTCTCACGGCCTCCTTGGCCCAGCCTCCCCAGTTCAAACTGGACCCCCGCCTGGCCCGGCTGCTGGGCTTGCACACGCAGAGCCGCTCGGCCATCGTCCAGGCCCTGTGGCAGTACGTGAAGACCAACCGGCTGCAGGACTCCCACGACAAGGAGTACATCAACGGCGACAAGTATTTCCAGCAGGTACCCTCTCCCCCAAGCCTGGGGCCATGGGGAAGGGAAGGGCCTCTGCTCAGGAACACCACCCTCCCTCCCTAACTCCGTTGGGAATAATCTTGGAGCCAGAGACCAGGCTTCTCATCCCTGCTCTGCCACGACACCGCCCTGTGCTGCCAACCCAGCAGATCGGGAACCCCAGAAAGCCAGCGGCTCTAGGGAACATGTTCTTGGCACCTGGAGTTAGGGCCCCCAGATTCTAGCTCTGGGTCCAGACACCGGGTCCGTCACTTAGCTGTCTGGAGCCTTGCTCCTTACCTTCACCACGCCTGTCCCTTCTCACCCACTGGGCAGTTAGGAGAATCAAACTGCTGTGAAAACGATTCTACCAAACTAGAGATTATTAATTAATAATAACTTTAAAATAAATTCCACAGGTAGACTTGAGCAGTGAAAACAACAGTCGATGTTTATTGAGCACTCACCGTGTGCCAGGCGCTGCTTCAGGCACTTCGTGTGTAACTGATGCATTTAATTCTAATAAGCCCCCTGAGATCGGTGCCCCTGCCTTTGGCTCCCAGAGACGGAGAGACCGAGGCCAAGGTGTGAAGTTGAGCGGCCCGAGGCCTGCTTCCANCGCGGTGCTGCAACGGGACGGTGACCCCACAGTGACACACGTGCAGACACAGCAGGACGAGGACATGGGAGAGGAAGGGGGGGTGGCCCTGCCCACGGCCCCTTTCCAAGGACGGCCCTTCCAGGGGACAGCGGCGGCCCCCCGTCCCGCCCCCTCCCCGCTTCTCCCACCGCAGCCTGGCCGGGTGAGAGCACGTGTCTTTCTACCTGCAGATCCACGAGACGATTGAGTCCATCAACCAGCTCAAGATCCAGAGGGACTTCATGCTGAGCTTCTCCAGAGACCCCAAGGGCTACATCCAGGACCTCCTCCGCTCCCAGAGCCGGGACCTCAAGGTGAAGGGGGCCTCCAGAGGAGCGCTGAGGAGGAGACAAGCATGCCGGGGAGACAGTGAATGTCGTGCGGGGGTGTCCAGGCTCGGGGCTGACACCGCTGCCCCCTCCCAGGTGATGACAGACGTGGCAGGCAACCCCGAGGAGGAGCGCCGGGCTGAATTCTACCACCAGCCTTGGTCCCAGGAGGCCGTCAGCCGCTACTTCTATTGCAAGGTGTGGGACCCCCGCCCCGGCGCCTCCAGCTCCCCAGAGAAACCCCCCACCCTCCCCCTCGCCATGTGGAGCTTTCCCTGCTCCCAGATGCTCCTCCAGGTGGGTGGGGCCCATCCTGTCACTCACCAGCAACTCGTCACCTGCACCTGCTCATTTCTCTACAGATCCAGCAGCGCAGGCAGGAGCTGGAGCAGTCGCTGGTCGTACGCAACACCTAGGCATGCTGGGGACGCGAGCTGCAGGGGGCCACCTGGCCCTGCCCCGGCCCATCCCCTCGGGCCTGGCCATCACCCCCCAACGCCTTGTGGGCGAGGCAGGGGCTGGATTAAAGGTTATTTACCTGATAACAGCCGTGTGGTCATTGGCAACTGGGGCAGGAGGGGGAGGGTGGGCGGGGGGAGAGGGCAGTGGGTCCCTCTGGGAAGCTCCCCACCCCCTCCCTCAGAGTCTCCTTACTCCCATTTTTCCTAGACCTAAAAACAGTTTGGCAGAAGACACTTTTAATAACATTTTTCTTATTAAAAAAAAAAAAAAACAACAGCGGCGAGCTCTCCCAGCTGTCCGTGCATCTTGCCTGGCCTTCCCGGGCGGGGCCGGCAGGGGCGCTGTGGAGGTGCGGGCCCCCGGGCACGCTAGGTGCTGTTGGCCTGCTCCTGCTCGAACAAGGCCATGGCCAGCTGCGCGCGGCCCCCCAGCCCCTCCAGGTTGCTGAGGCGGCAGCGGTGGTAGAGTTCCTCACTGAGCCGAGGGCTGCAGTCCCGCAGGGAGAACTTTTGCACCAGCCCTGGCTCCACGGCCCGGAAAAGGTGGAGCCCTGAGAACCGGAGGAAAACATCCATCACCTCCAGCCCCTCCAGGGCTTCCTCCTCTTCCTGGCCTGCCAGTTCGGCAGCCAGCCGGGCTCGGGCCGCGAGGTAGTCCGCGTTGTAGAAGCAGCCCTCTGCCGAAGCCTGCCGGTCAAACCTGCCTCCTCCGGCAGTCCCCCGGGCAGGGTCCGCACCCGGAGGGGACGGGGGATCGGGGCCAGCCCCCGGGGGTCCCGGGGGTGGTCTCTGTGGTACCAGGGCGGGGTTGAATTCCTGGAAGTGGACTGGAAAGAAGGCCTGCCAGCCGGAGATGGCGTTCATGCGGCAGCGGTTGAGGACCTCGGGCCCCGGCCTGGTCCACACGGTGGTGAGGAAGAAGAGCGTGTCCACGGGGTGCTTCTTGGAGACCACATCCATGAGCCGCACCTGAGAAGGCGCCTCCGCTCGCACGGCGAGCCAGGCCAGCCTCGTCCCCGGGTACCGTCGCTCCAGCTCAGCCGCTGCCGCCTTCACCCCGAGGAACGGGTCTGGGGCCCCTCGGCCCCCTTCCCGCGGCCCGTAGACCAGCAACAGGGTGAGTAAGGCGTGCTCTCGGGGCTCCAGGACCCCGGCTGCAAAGGCCTCCAGGAACGCGGGGGCGACAGCGGCCTCGGTAGCCGGCAGTGGCAGCACGAGCTGCACGCGCGTGGCCTCAGTGACGTAGGGCATGGGGAGGATCTCCACGCGGCTCAGCGGCCGCAGGAGGCTGACCCTACGCGCCAGTGCCCTCCGGTGCCCGCGCTGCGTCACGGCCTCCAGCAGCAGGTCCAGCGTGTACTCCATGCCCCGCGCCGGGTCAAAGCGCCGGTAGCCGTTGAGCAGCCGCTGCTTCTGGAAGCGCAGGCGGGGCTGGTAGCGCCGGTTCAGCTGCTCCAGGGCCGTCTCCACAGCGTCGCCCACGTCTGCCCTGCTCGCCCCTTGAAGGGGGCACTTGGGGGCCCCGTCTGCGCAGGAGAAGGTGTGCTGTTCTGTGAAGTAGTCCCAGCCCAGCACCTCAAAACGAGAGTGCGGCGTGAAGGGGGCAGGGAGCCCGAGGGGCCAGCTCAGCCCCGCCTCCCCCTCAGGGGTCAGCGCGGTCAGGTTCCGGATCTGAGCCTAGGGCGGGAGGGATGCCCCGTTAGTGCCTGGCGAGGGAATCGGGACCCCAGCCCGCTCCACCGTCCTGGGTTCTGAGGTCCGTCCTGACTCCATCCACACTCAGTGAGGCCTGGCACTGAATGGCCTGTACTTGACAGCCTGTCTGTAAGGGGCACACAGACCCGCCATCCGCACACAGCTGCTGTGGGGAGGCGGACGGGCTGGGCAGAGTGCTGCCGTGGAGGGCAGAGGACCCTGACATCTGGGGCTCCGCGGCCTTTCTCTTCCCCACTCACAGGACTCACTCTCTTCACAGGAGACCTTTGTTTTCACCTGGATCCCACCTCGGACAACCCCCTGCCATCAACCAGAGAATTCTTCTACCTTCTGCCCTTGGGCGTTTTAAAGACAGTGCTAGAAGTCCGGGACTGCGGGGTCTTGGCCCCCTCGGTGGAGAGGCACTACTGGAGAGGAGAGAAGCCCTTCTGGTGCCAAGCCCGCTCCTCAGAGGTCTCCTGCATATCCTCTCAAGTGCACCCACATCGTGCTGGGAGCTTTCACCCAGGGCACCCGGAGCCCCTTCTCCCTGGGGTGCTTCTCACTAAGGTTGGGTCAGTACAGTCAGCCGCCTCCTGCCTCGCCCAGCCTCCTCTCTTGCTCATCTGTGAGCCCGGATGTCTGAAGTGCCCTCTGACCTGCAACCCCGGGCCCCGGCTCACCTGCAGCTGTTCTATTTCGCTGTAGGCCCGCTCCAGCTCCAGAGCACTGAAGCGCTTGTGGAGCCGGTACATGAGGGTCCCCTCGGAGACAGGGTGGACCGCGAAGGCACTCAGGAAAGCTGAGCTCCTCTCCGTCTCGGGGTCCCTATTTTTGGCCAGTTCAAACGAGCGATACTGCTGCCCCTGGAGGACCATGAGACCAATCAGTGCCACACAGGGAGGAGCTGCCTGGGCCCGACTACCCTCAACTGCCCTTGGCGCTCACGCCTCTCACTGCTACTGCCGCCAAGGCGGGGAGGGCATAGGAGCTCATTCTGGGGTCCCCTCAACCTTCGCCTTACTCTCACACTGGATTTGGGAAAAAGAGAGCTCGCTAGGCAACTAGGATGACCTCGCCCCCAAAGAATCCTGATGTTTCTCACAAGAATGAAAGCCGAGAGCCAGCAGACACTGCCAGGACTCCGGTCAGTCGGGGAAGAGGAGGGCCCCTCTGGGACCGTCCCCTCTTCTCCAACCAACAGGGAGGCTCCCGGGCCACCCCCCTCCTCCAAGGAGAGCGGTCCCCTCTAGGGCACTCCCAGGTCACTGGAGACCGTGCAAGTGTTGGGGGGAGGGCAGAGCACGAGGGGCCAGACAGGAGGACACTGGTGAGGAAGGGACATCTTTCAGGCTTGCTCAGACGGTCCCTGACAAGATGCCACTTTTGATGGACCTGGGGAATCTAAGACTGCCAGAGGGGGGTAAGGGAGAGCAAGACAGGTGACTGGGGCTGGGGAGGGCACAACGACCACCCCAGGAACTGCTGGGAAAGGGCCAGCAGCCCCCCGCCTCGAGACCAGCCGCTGGGTCCCTGCTAATTTGTCGGGGATGGGGACTAACTTGAAAGGGCTGTCACCTGGTGTTGAGAGACACAGCCGATGCCCAGAGAGTCAATGAGGCAGCGGCCGAGCCACTCGTCAGGACGGGCACTGAGAATGTCTCCGCGGCAGCCATCCAGATGTGGCCGCAGCCGAAGCAGGAGGCTCCGTGACAACAGGTAGCCAAAGCCCCCGTGGCAGTACCGGGCCTGCTCGCCAGCGCCGATGAACTCCTCCGCCCGGCCCAGGTACAGGTCCTGGTTGATGCTGAGGTGGCCAGCCAGGGCCGCCAGGCGGGGGGCCTGCACGTACGTGTCGTCCTGCATGATGAAGAACCAGTCGTAGTCGGCCCCGAAGTGTGTGTGAAGATGGCGCAGGGTCTCGGACATGAGCCAGGCTGGCCGTTCGTCCCCGTGAGACACCACCTGCATCCCTGCTGGGGTCCGGGCCCCTCGCTGCCCAGTGAAGTAGAGCAACCGGGGGAAGTGGTGGGCCACTGTGCGGTTCACAGCCACAGCCAGAGTGGACAGTGTGGCCCGGGAGGTCAGGACAGCCACCAGCAACCGCTCGCGAGAGCCCAGCTCCGTCTGGATGTACCGAGTCCTGGGAGGAGACCAGCATGCCAGGGTCAACTCACTAATCTTTAGGAACCCAGCGTGTCCAGCATATACCTCCCCCCAGGAATTAGCGAGTCGGAGTTGAGACAAGAGAAGGGGGAGACCTCCTCATCAACACTGATGAGCTACTGGAGAGAGCGTCCACTGAGTAGCTGACACTGGAACTGATCTCGGGGAGAGGCGGACCCAGGATGGATTAGATGCAACTCCTGCCCTGCCGAAGAACATCCGACCACTAACTTAACACCAATGGGTGAGGCTTTCTCAAGCCTGAGGAGGAGGAAAAAAAAAACTGGAAACATGATGGAAAATAAAGCAGAGAACTGCTCCAGGGAGGCTAACAACGATTACCAGTGACCATGGATAGGACATGGAGGCAAGGACTCGGAGCAACCCTGAAGTGGGGTGTGGGGACGATGCACATACGCGCACGTTAACTCTCACCTGAGCACCTTCTTGTAGGGCTTGTTGGGATCCCTGTAGTAGGGGACAATCCGGGGTTTGAAGTCTTCGTCGTTTTGGTCAAGCTGAGTTCTTGAGTCTAGACTCTGTGGCCCTCCGGCTTCCCCCACAGCCTCTACGCAGGGATCGTCCCCCTCCCCCTGGATCCAGGACACCCGCAAGAGGCTCAGGCTGCATCCCAGAGACAGCCCCAGGATGAGGGGCAGTGCCGGTCGCAGCAGGGCCAACACTGAGCTTAGCCGCATGGCGGTGGGCCCTGCCATGTGTGCCCTGGAGGGCACAGCCTCAGGGATCAATCAGTGACCAACGGGCTCTTTCAACAAGGGACCCTGGGGCCAGTGAAGTTAACGAGAGAACAAGGCTGTGTTTGCTTCCCGGCCCCGGATCCCCGAGAAACTCCTGCCTTGTCTTCTGTTGCCAAGGCGCTGGTTCTAACCCTCAGTCCAAACGGTAATAAATATCAGAATCAATTTCACCCACTAACGGTGGGTCCTCTAGTCCAGAAGAGGAAGAAGCAAGATTCAGTCCTGCCAACCTAATCCCCAAAGAAGGACTACACACATCTGGTGACAGGATCTAAGCAGAGAGATGGCGGCAATTGATACAGTTGGCCTTAGGGAAAAGCACATTGGCCATCAAAACACCAGCGCCCAGCGAGAGGAATCTGACTCCACAGGCCTTTCCAAAAGAGCATGTGGGAGGGGCATACATCTCACTCACTCACTGAAGGGGCTGTCAACCCCCCGGGCAGTCACAGAGATGGAGCCCAG